GAAGAAAGGCCAGCGTGGAGGAGGGCAGCCTGGTCTCGCATGGCTCCTTGTCTTGGCCCTTCGTGTTTCACCCAGCACCTTTCTCCTCCCTCTTTGGTGCTCCCCACCCTAACCCCCACCCCAGCTAACACTGCAGATGCAAGCAACCTGATCCTGGACCTGCTGGATGAAGTTTTATGCCAATAGCTCCCATAGCCGCCTCACCCGCTGCCACTCCCATTCCAGCCCGCTCCCCACCATCAGCAATGCTGGAATGTCAGACTTTGCACAGATTTTTCAGCTAATTTTGGAAAGTAGTTTATATTGGCCGCTATGTGTTAATGAACAACTTTGGTCATATTTACATACTTTGCTGGTTAAGCATCTTTTCCATCACTCTGCCTCCCAACTTTATCAGGATCTCTGTCCCACTCTACGTGTCTGGTTTGCACATGCCTGGAGAACACCAGAACCTCCTTCAAGGACAGCTTCTCACTGTCACTAGCTCCGGGACCTGCCACCAAGGCGATTTCCCGCGTGCAATGTGATGGGCATTGCAGCTTTGACGAGCGTGTGGGTGGGTTGTTTACCTGTGCAGAATGTTTGGAAGAAAACCTGGAGGTGAATTCTAATCAGCAGAAAGCCTGGATCAAAGGAACAATCACCCCTTCTGATCTCATTCCAAACCAAGCCGGGAGGTTGGAATCCACATCTGACCCCTTTCTGCTTCCCAGCCTCGCTCTCTTCCTGGGGTGCAGATGAAAAGAGCGTGGGTCTCAGCCTCCTTGTCAGGAGCGATTTTTAACCTTAATGGAACGTTATTAAAGAGTGGATTTGAGACTTGAGGAATGTTTTTTGAACTCCTTCTCTGAGCAGAGCACACACAGCGAAGGGGGAAAGATCAAGGTGCTTGATGGGCTTATGGATAGACTTTTCGATGGTGATGTAAGTTCTTATTTTTAGTAGCAGCGTTTTCTCAGAGTGCATTGAGGCAGGCCATCTGGATGTCATAGCCCACATTTCATCTCCTCTTCAGGACGGATTGGCCTCTGTGCTCTTCAGCCTCTTCTTGCGGCCCTAACGAAGGGGGATCCGCATGCTGTTCTTGTTTAGATGCGCTGATTCTTCCTGAAATGAGCAGGAATTGGGGGGAGGGTGCCAAGTGGCTCTGTGGACCCCAAGAAGGAAGATAGGAAAATGTGAGCTTCAGGGAGAAGTGGCTCCTGGGTTCCTATCACAGCTATGCCATTGATCTGTGTGACCTGAGTCAGTACGTCTTTACATGGCTTTCTCCATCGAACAACTATACTAACCTGCCAGTACTAGACCATTAACACAACCCAGCCCAGTGCCTGGCACAGAGCAGGCATCCTTGCCGTTGTGTTGATGGAGTCGGTGCGCACAGACCTCGCCTTGGTTGATGGTCTTTGCTGTGAGTGGCTGTCTTGAACTTTGTAGCAGCACCCTTACCCTCGGCTCACTGCATGCTCTTCCTGCCTCCCTGGATCATGGCAGCCCAGAATGGTGCCTCAAGTAGTCAGATGTGCCCTGGAGGGTGGAGCAAAACCACCTCCTTTCCCCAGCGGAGGAAAAATGATCTTAATTATGAAATTTTATAGAAAGAACGGCATGACTTTTAAAAAAATTAACAACAGGAGGTGGAAGTATTCTGAGTAAGCTATTTATAATTGCCCATCCCTTTCATAGAATTTAATGTTAGAAGGAAGCAGTGGGGGCTGAGCTGCAAGGCAGCAAGGCTGGCTTTGCAAAAATAATGGTATGTGCACTGACTGTTCCATAAATGGGGCAAGTAAATGTACGCTATGCCCCTTGAAAGGAATGCTCTATAGAAATACAACTTTATTCTACAGCAGCACATTTTTTTTTATTTTATTTTATTATTTTTGTGTGCGTGTACCGTCAAATCAGATCTGACTGGTACAGGAGGAGATTGCCCCTCCTTCCCCGGCAGAGCATCTGGTGGATTCGAACCGTGCACCTCTGGGATTGTAGTTGCAGCTTCTTGCCACTAGGCCACCAGAGCTCTTCAGCACATTTTTTTAAAAGATAAAGGAAGAACAACCAATTGTATTGATACTATCTCTTTTTTCAAAACCCTTGTAACACTGTTGTGCTGTTACTGCAGGAAAATGAAGCTCCACATTTGACACTTTAAAGAGAAATCTCAAGCATGTATTTTTGCTTTTTGGTTAACAGTGTCCAAGATGGTCAGGTTTTTTCCTTTTCCCCCTTGTTTTATCCATGGGAATATAATTGCCTAAGTCTGACTTTTCAGCCATGTGCAAGATATTAAGGAGGTACAAGTTGCCATTAAATGGATTCTAATTTATGATGACCCCATATGTATCAGAATAGAACTGTGTTCCATAGGTTTTTCAATGGTTGATTTGTCAGAAGTAGATTTTCCAGCCTTAATTTCAAGATGCTTCTGAGTGGGCTTGAACCTCGAGCCTATTGGCTAGTAGCTAAGCTCTTTACTCAGTGACCCAAAGGGTTATAGTTGGATATGAGATGAAAGAAGTGTTTTATAACTTTATCTAATGTAAATCGTAGTCCTTCTTCGAGGGTTAGTCCTTTTGTTATAGTACTTCTGGAGTTCTTGTGGCCCAGTGGGTAAGTTGTGCTGCCATCCAAAGGCAGGCAGTTCAAATCCACGTCAGAGTTGGCTCCAAGGGAGAAGATGGACAGTCTCCTCCTGTGTGATTTGCTGTTTCTGAAAATCTGCTGGAATGTCAGTCATGTGTCAGTTCTGACCCAAGAGTGCTTAACAATGACAATGTAACTGACCTTTGACATTTTCTTATCTCATAGATGTTGAGTCAGAACCAACTGAAAGTGGACCCCTTAGCAGAATTTTGGAAGCAGTATATTGGGATGGGTGTGTCGGAGACAGTGCGATTGGCACAGGAAAGAGCAGAGTTTAGGGCTGTTGTACATAGGGTCACTATGAGTTGCAAGCGACTCGACAACAACATATTGCACAGAAGGAGATCTCCCATCTTTCTTCTGTGGAGGTAGAGGTGGATTCAGATCTCCTTATGGAGTTTGCCACCAGCGCTCCCCATTTTTTAAAAACCCAGATTTTATAATACTAGAGATAGTACTTAAAGATGTAATTATCACTGTTCTCATGACTGGAAGCTGATTGCTCCAGAACATTTCAGCAGAGGGCTCCCTTCCATTCACTTACATCCTTCCACCTCCTGAGTGTAAGCCCTTGTCACTCCTGGCCGTCTTGAGACTAGACAGAAGAGGAAGATGAAGTGCAATCTCACCTCTCCTTCCTCATAGCAGGCCTAAGCCATAGTTTCAGCATTTATTTGGATCGCATTCTGCTCCATTTCCTCAAGAGAATATGAAGACTCTTGATGAGGACTCTTGAGGATGAGCTGGGGATGGAGAAGGAGATGGGAACCTGCCCGAAAAATACAGGCATGGGATAATCCCAGTGCAGGGTTGCTAGATTCTTATAAAATGGGTGCATTTGCCTTCGGATGGCCCATACCTAAACCGGAAACATTTGGGACCTTTGGAGGCTGATTTAGAGACAGGAAAATGGTAGGCATTGGGGCTAAGATGGGAACTTCTCCTCAGAATTAACCGTGCCAGATCAGCTTGTGGTGACCCCATGTGTGCCACAGGAGAACTGTGTCCATAGGGTTTAATTTTGGGGTGTGTTGTGTTTTTTTTTTTTATCTCCACAGGCTTTTGAGTGAGTAATTTTTTTAGAAGTAGATTGTGAAACCTTTCCTTTGAGGTTTCTTCAAGTGGACTCAAACTGCCAACCCTTCTGTTAGCAGCCAAGTGCATTTACTTTTTTTTTTTTTTAAATTTTATTTTTGTGTGAGTGTACCGTCAAATCAGATCTGACTGGTACAGAAGGAGATTGTCCCTCCTTTTCCCGGCAGAGCATCTGGTGGATTCGAACTGTGTGCCTCTGGGATTGTTGCAGCTCCTTGCCACTAGGCCACCAGAGCTCCCCCCCCCCTTTTTTTTTTTCTTTAAGTGCTCTTGTAATGCTCTCTGAATCTGTGAAGGAGCATCAGAAATCGTGAGGAAAATGATCACATGCACAAACATCTTTTTTTGGTTTAAAATAAACTCTGTGGATTAAATATTGATTTGAATTAACAAAGTCTTTGCCCCTGGGAAGTCGTGTGGAGGGGTTTGGAGGTCTCCACTATAAACTTAAAATTGCAACAAGTTCAGAGATCCCTGGGTCTAATCCAAAGAAGTTCTTTCCACTTGCATTAATCAAGTCAAAACATTTTCTTTTAAAGAAACAAATAAGCAAAAAAATAATTGATCCTGCCAACTGCAGTCAAATCAGACCTTTGGGACTGACCGCACTGTTCTTTCCTGAGCGCTGGGCACTGGCTCGCCCTTAGCGTGGGCACGATGAGGAATCAGCCAGACTCTCACTGGTGGGTCATCCTTGCCATTGAGAGCACACTGCATAAAAGGGTTCAGAAAGGTCACGGCCTTCCCTGCCATTTGCAATGCCTGCCATCCTGAGAATTTTGTGAGTGAACACTGCCCAGATTCCTTCTGGAACTCCCATTCGCTGCTTTCGCATATGACTGCCTGGCCTCTGGAAATTCCATGCCAGCTGCCTGGAACTGGGTGGGTCCGCTCACCCCACCTCCACTGCCCCTGGCAGCTGCTCAAGTTTTCAGAATGGCACTGGTGACAGTGATCAACATAAGTGCTCCAGTTCCACCCTGGTTATTTTTGGCGGCTCTGAGCAATGCATGCCCTCTGGGAGCTGTGTGATTCGGACTATTGGGTAACCTTTTTCCCGTGCAAGTCCAGACAAAGGAGAGTCCTGACCTGCATCTGTGTGTCAGGTGTCTTGATGCTGTCCTGGTTTCCTGCTCGAGAACCTTTACCAACACATAAAGAACCCGCCTTCTCTCTTGCATAGCCCGTGGTTGTTAATGAAAGGTGGTACTGGGAGACGATGCACGTTTATTGAGTGTATGTTGTTTTCTTCCCTCTAGATTGAAAACATAGATGCCTGCTTGAATTTCCTGGCAGCTAAAGGAATAAACATCCAGGGGCTGTCTGCGGAAGGTGAGTCAGAGGCTTGTCACTAAACTGCTTTTCGATGTTAGAAGTACCCACCTGTTACTCATTGAGGACACCAATAAATGAGGACAGAGAACGCTGGTGGGCCTTTTCGGATTCTGTTTCCTTTCAGAAAGGTCAATGCTCATTTAGGCTGAAGGATGCTTTCCTTTTTAAAGAAATAGGGGGCTAAAAATATACATAACAAAGCCTGCTGCAGAGAATGCTGGCTTTTTCAGTCCAGTAACCCTCACAGGTAGGAGTTGCACCCTTACCCTTCATCCTGGAGGCAGAGCTGCTCTGGGTCGAGCAGGATTGAGCTAAGTAGCACTGACTTGCTTCACATAGTTGGCAATTCAGTTGAGTATAAGCTAGGTCTCATCAGAAGGAGAGGGGATGCTCAACCCCAGAGCATACAGCTCCCCGGGGAAACAGATACCTAGTCCTGTTTCTCACTTTTATGAGAAAAAGCAGCACTTGCCTTGGCTCTTAGAAGAAAGACTGCCTGTTTATTAATGAGATGCTGCGTTTTTACATCCTGATTAGTTTTTAATTAACTCAGATTTGGAGGTTAATTAGCACATTAGCTCTTGCTAATGATTTGCTGTTAAGTGTTGGTCTGCAGGTGATGGGTCCAAATTCTCAGACTCCTCAGGCAAAATGTAGTCCTGAAAGCCTCCCCTCTGTCTCGTTCGTAAATACCAGGCAGCTGCCAGCTCAGAGGCTGCCATAGGCCCCGGCATCCTCCCAGACTGATTACTTTGCACCTGCCTCTGCTTTTCCCAGGACAGGGAAAGCAGTTTGGATTTCAGCAACCTTTCCCTAGCAAGGTTGCTCTCTGACAGGATGCCTGTTAGATGCTGGCGGCCAGGGTGGGGAGGAGGGGAGCAGTGAGGAAGGAAGCAGCCAAGTGGAGTAGGTAAGTTTGCAGATGTTATCTAGAGTCCATGGGGCCTGGTCCTTGCCCCTGGTAAGTGCTGAATGCTGGTTTTCCTGCCTGTGTCTCTGAATGATTGGCTCTATTGTCTGGGGGCAGGGAGTAGTAAGGGCCACTGCTGGTGCCCTGTGGGTGTGTCATGCACGTCTTAGGGCGGGGCTGATGGGAGTTCCTGAGTGGATCCTGTGCTGGTCCTGTCTAAGAGGAGCTTTCCACTCTGCTTCCTGAGGTCTCAGGAGCAGCGGGGAAGTAGTCATCCCTAATCTCAGCTCTTGGAGGGACCTCCTGTGAGTCCACCAGCTCTAGAGACCTGATCATGGAGATGTGATGTGGGCTGACCATGGAGAATATATGTTGTTGGGGAAGAACATGTTAGCAGTACTGTTGCCATGAATACCACAGTGACCCTATAGGACAGAGCAGTTGTTCCCATTGAAATTTCAAGACCATGAATCTTTATAAAAGTTGACTGCATGTCTTCCTCCCAAGGAGCAGCTGGTAGATTTGAATTGTAAACCCTTGGTATGTGTTTTACCAGTGCATCACCAGGTTTCCCTAGGGTTAAGTTGTTGTTTGCCATCAAGTCAGAACTGACCCTCCAGTCGGTTTTCAGAGGCAGCAAATTACATAGAAGGAGCATCTAGTGGATTTAAACCTTCTGCCTTTGAGGATACAGCACAGCTTCTTATCACTAGGCTACCAGCAAATCCCCTTTCAGAGAAACACATACTTTCCTCCATAGAGCGCTCTTCTGCTGGCTGGTAGGTGGCAAGCACATCCTGTTCGTGTTTCTGGTTTGAATTATACCCTGGGACTGACCTATGTTCCCTAGCAGATCACCAGCAGGGACTTTTCTCAAATTTTCCTCAGCATCAAGTATGCTGGACTGACTCGGCCTCTGTGGGCCAGCTCGATCCAGGTGGGTCCTGTGGCCACCTGGCCACTCAGCTACCTACCTATTTTCCCCATTTGTTCTCCTAGCCTCTGAGGCATAATCTATTCAGTCAATATTTGTCAAATGGATAAGTGCTGACTGTACTTTTTAAAAACTTTATTTGCATCAGCCCCAGTTCTCATGCCTGAAGTTGATGTTTATAAACCAGCCTTAGTTTACAGGTGAGACAACTGTGGCTTCAGGAAGTTCTGGGTGGCAGTCAGGATTTGAACCAGGGTCTGACTTCAGAGCTCATGTTCTTTGTACTCTACTGTGGTGTCTTCTGGGATAGCAGACCAAATCCAAACAAGCCTTGTACAGGGATCAAAGTCAGAAAAGACTTAGAACTCTGGGCTTCAGAACATGTATGTTATGTCCAAACATGTTGTGTGGTCTGTGAAGGCAAGGAACCTCTCTGCCCACCTCTGTTAGATACTAGTCATGGGCCTTGTGAGTCTCTTGATATAGAATCATACAATGTTTCGGATAAGACCTATGAGATAGTTTGATGATAGTTTAATCACTGCTTCTAACTGTTCTATCTTCTTTCATACTGGGTAATAGCTCACTTACTGATATCTTGGCCAGATTTTGTAATGTTTCAATCCTGCTCAGTTATTAGAATAATTTTTTATCAGTTTGTATATCTGTGCTTCATTGACTATGCAAAGGCTTTTGACTGTGTGGATGACAACAAGCTGTGGCTGACTCTGAGAAGAATGGGAATCCCAGAACATTTGATTGTGCTAATATTAAATCTATACTTGGACTAAGAGGCAGTCATCAGAACAGAGCAAGAAGACATGACATGTGACATGGTTCAAAATCAAGAAGGGGGTCCGTCAGGGATGTATTCTGTCTCCATACCTTATCAATCTATATGCAGAACAGATCATCCGAGACGCTGGGCTGTACGAGGAGGAACATAGCATCAGGACTGGTGGAAGAGTCATCAACAACCTGCATTATGCAGATGACACAACCCTGCTTGCTGAAACTGAG